AATAGGAAGAAAAGGTCCTATCTTCCTACTCTTAACCTCCATTGTTCCTAGAATTCATTCTTCGACTTTTAGAGAACAAGAGCTAGGGGCCAGGGATTTAGCTCAGTGGTTCTGGCGCCTGCCTGTCAAGCACAAGGTTCCAAGTTCGATCCCCAGTACCAAAAAAAAAAAAAAAAGAACTAGGCCTATGAGACAGGTTGAGAGATAAGAGTTTTTCATATTTCATGCCCATTATAATTTCCTCTATCAGTGGGACAAAGCTATGGTCAACCAGTAAGATTTTAAGTATAGTTGCTTAGGTAATATTGATTAAATGGGGATCAAATGAGGAAGCTAGTCATGTAGTAAGCAAGCGTACATGTTGAGAACAAGGATTTCTAGGAAGGAATGGGCTGAAGAGATTTTAGTCCCCACCAAGGTGATTGATAGCTATTTAGAATATCAATCACTGCTGTTCATCCCTAGGGGAAGTATGTGAATGTGGTAGTTCCTCTTTTTCAAATCCTGGCTTTCAGTAAATGGGCCTCAATTGTCTTCTGTATTGACTCTCTGAAGGGCTTGGCCTTGCCTGTCTTATAATATTTCCCAACTAGCTGAGCTCTCCACAATACCATCACTGACAAAATATCCAACAGCTACAACATAAAAGAGAAGTTTATTTTGGCTCAGTTTCATTGTCTTCAGTCTGTGATTGGCTGGCTCCAAGGCAGAAATCACATGGTTGAAAGGCCTGGAGGAGGAAACCTGCTCATTTCATGGTGATCAGGGAGCAGAGACAGAAAGGAGGAGCCAGGATAAGGGAATTATATGAGCATTATACAATTTTTTTTTTTGGTTGTTTTTGAGACAGGGTCTCGCTATGTAGTTCAGGCTGGCCCTGAACTCACTATGTAGCCCAGGCTAGCCTCGAACTCTAGCGATCCTCCTCCCTCTTCCTCCCTAGTGCTGGGATTACAGGCCTGTGCCCCCATGCCCAGCAGTTCATTATATAATTATATGAACATTAGACATGGTGTGAGTATTATAAATTACCCTTGATTTATACAATCAGTGCAAGTGGAGAAAAATGACATATAAATAAAATTTGTACAAATCAAAAATAAAAACCTGAATACTGTCAGGTAAAAGGCCAAAAACCAAGACCAGACCAGACCACAACAACCCTTTATTAGGGAAACAGATCTGCCGGGCTGTCTCTGAACAAAGGAGAGACAAAAGCAATATGGCCAGGACAGCAAGTGCCTTTTATAGGGGCTTGTAGGAGCTGAGGTGGGGTTGAGTGAGGTAGTGGCTAGGGACTGGAGAAGCCTGTGATGTCACTAGTTGCCAGGAGGAGAGCAAGCATCAGGTTACTCTTTTGGTGGGAGTAGGGGCGTGTTGAAAAGAAGGTAGCTATTATGTACAGCAGCCACCCTAAATTGAAGGGAAATCTATCAAATACCCTTCCAAGTCATGCCCCCAGTGATCCATCCCACTCAGGCCCCACTTCCTAACAGAACACTCAGCCAGGAACTCATCAATCTACTGATGGGCACAGCACCCCCATGATCCACCCACCTTCTCAGAGTCCCACTTCTGTTGTGTTTTTTATTTTGTTTTGTTTTGTTTTTTTGGTACCAGAGATCAAACTTGGGACCTTGGGCTTGCAAGGCAGGCGCCGGAACCACTGAGCTAAATCCCCGGCAAAGTCCCACTTCTGAATGCTAGATATAAACCATAATATATAAATATGCCAAAAAGAAACTCATGATTCTGCATAACTAATATGTGCTAATAAAAAGTAATTTTTTAGCAGTACTAAGAAATTGAACCCAGCACCTTTTCACTGAACTACATCCCCAGTTTTTGTTGTTGTTGTTGTTGTTGTTGTTTGTTCGTTTATTGCTTTTTTAAGACAAGGTCTCCTTATGAAGTTCAGGCTGCCCTTGAACTCACAGCAAATCCTCCTGCCTCAGCCTCCAGAGTGCTGGTGATATAGGGGGAATAGATGTAACTCCCAAACCTATGAAGAATGAATTCTAAGAAAAATGGATGTTAAGAGTAAGAAAATATAGGGCCGGGGATTTAGCTCAGTGGTTTCGCCACCTGCTGCACAAGTGCAAGGACCTGAGTTCGATCCCCAGTACCAAAAAAAAATTAAAATTAAAGCACAAATTTAAAGAGAAAAGTTTTAACTAGAAAATGAGAGAAAATGGTAAGGGACTTTAGCTTGGGGAGCTGACAAAGGTTAGGCTGTCCCTTAACCAAGAAGAATAAGAAAAATAGAAAAGTACTCCAGCTTGAGCCCCTGTAGAGGGACAGACATGAAAAAGACCAGACTGGCCACCTGCAAAGGCAGAAGGCTGGCTTTTAGGGTTTAGCTGATGGGCTGGGGTCTGGTCCTCATCATCTCAGTCCTAGTTTCGTAGCTCTGGAATCCTCACAGCTGAGGAGCTGTTCCATTCCCAGGAAATGATTGTCTATTCCTGGTTTCAGTCACTTGGGGCTCTGCTTTTCCTGGAATCAGGTGATCACAGGTTTAGGACCATGGCTGGAGTCTTCCGAGCTAGCTGAATGTCCCTGTAAATCCCTTACCTTGGTGTCCTCAGTCTTGAAGAGAGATGAGATCTTGTAAATTCAGGGCAATCAACCCTGTTTTCTCAACTCTTAGACACACTCCCTGAATGACTAACACACTTGCATGCAGAGCCAACAAGGGATTTGACCCTAAACTCCATAGGAACAAAGATTCCCAAAAAATAATCAAGCTTTGTTCTGCTTTCAGTTACCTAGAAGACATCTGTGGGCCCAAGTGAAGAGTTACTGTTTTTAGCTTTTTTTTTTTTTTTTTGGTACGGGGCAATCAAACTCGGGATGGGGGATCTTTTGTTTCAGGCAGAACCACCAAGCTAAATTCCTGGCCCTTAAAAGGCTTTTAAGTCACTGACTGCTTAAGAAAAAGCACAAAAAGTTTGATGACTGACAGGGTAAAGGCCCAGGACTCTGCCCATCTCCCAGTCCCTTGGTGGCCTCTGACTAAGTCGTGACTGTGTCACTACCCCCCACTGTTCCCCTAATCACCCTCCTCTCTCTACCCCCAGTGCCTCTCCTGCAGTCCCACCTCTTGCTTTCCCTCTCCCCATT